TTCTTGTAAACGTTGTGGCAGATCCCAGTGATAGATTGTGACCATTGGTGTGATGTTATAGTGCAGAAGCTCGTTAATTAGATCACTGTAATAGCGTATACCTTCACTGCTGACATTATTCATATAGCCGCCCGGCATGATGCGGGACCATGAGATCGAAAATCGGTACACATGTACGTTTAAGTCACGTACCATTTGTACATCGCGACGCCACTGTGCGGAGGGAAATAGAAAAAAATATATAAAATATTTATATAAAGAGTGTGCATTCTAATGACACAGGGAAACATTGATTTTGCTCTGCAATGAAAAGATAACAAGAAGACCTTGTTTCAACACCACACTGGCAAGTGTTTTATCAATACTTCATTAATTTGCAACATTTTCAAGTGTCTTCATTGTTTGCACTAAAGTTCTGTCTTTTATTCTTTCCTGAATTCATTTCTAAGGCATTGTTTTTAATAGGCAAAAATTTTGAAACGGTTCCTTCAGTTATAGAATCTTATAGACATCATTAATATTTCTATTGCCATCGTTATTATTACTCAAGATTTGTTTTTATCAGTCCACAATTAATAATTATATTATTAGGAAATGACGAAATTAATTGAATTAATTTGACTAGAAATTATAAATTATACATTTTTTTTTTTTTTTTTTTTTTTTTTTTTTTTTTTTTTTTTTTTTTTTTTTTTTTTTTTTTTTTTTTTTTTTTTTTTTTTTTTTGAGTTAGTACGTTCGCTTACTTTAGGGTAAGTGATTATTGTACTAATTTAGATTTAGTTAGACTCAGAAACCGAGCACCCATTTTACACACAAACGCAGTTTGATTTGAATATGTAAGTAATCTTATAGAAATTGGAAAATACATATAAAAATAAGCATTGGATGTCATCACACTCCGAACAGGTTTATTAATTGCTCAATAATTTTCATCGTAATTTCTAAGCAATCATTTGTAGGCTTGAAAGTGCAAAAAAATTGTGTAAACATTTGCATACTAGTTTCCAGTTTAAATTATAGCTCGTAATCGACTATATCATAGAAAAAGTTGGATAATATTCCAGGAATTTTGGGAAAAAATTATATTTGTAAAAATAAAGCAAAGTTCCCCACTTTTATATATCAAAATAATTGTACTCTGAGGAATGCACATGTACATATATTCAGGATATATGGTATCAGTATGCTTAAGTGTATTCGAATTTTTTACCTGATGATAACTATCAGATGAAACATCCCCATTTGACTGATCAATAATTTTTTCCGGGTAATTGTGTGTTAGATGATCCCAGATTGATTCTCCTTTCCCAGATGCATTCCAACCACCCTCAATTTGATATGCTGACGTACCGATGCCCCAAATGAAATCGTGAGGAAATTGTCGTCCTTTTGGTTCCACTGATGGGCGTCTGTAAAAGACGAAAGTTAAAATTAATTAGAATTAAAAAAATAATCAAGAAACAAGTAAGATCATATTTTCGCATATTTTCGGTGGATGGAAAAATGTATAATAAAAGTATATAAATTCTATATTCGTTCTTGTTAACTTATATTATAGCTCATATAGTCACCTCGATTTTTTACTACTTATCAATCTAACTAGCAAACACCACAAGTTTTACTATCGAATACATGTCCACTTAATCTTGTTTTAGATCCGTTTTCTCAAGGTCTAGAAAGCAGTCATCTGTCAGTTAAGTTCACGTTAATTTAACCAAGACTCAAGCAATATGGTAAATTAGGAAAATGTACTTTTTGAATTCGATAAAGATATCTTACAGATTGACCAAATTTTTCGTTAAAAAGTCAAGCATAAGCACTGAAGTCCCATTTCGACCATTTTTGAGGAGAGATGGTTTAATTTGAAAACTCTATTGGTAAATACAAAGTTTTACCCCAATATCTCACGAGTGCTTGATTTATATATTGCAAAATATTGTGAAATAATCAGATAAAATTTCGAATTATGTTGTTTAATGAGATAACGCATCTTCAATTTTGAGATATAACAACCTTTTTAATTAACATTTATGTAACAATTATTAATTTGCGAATGAAGAAAGAGCAAAATATTCATATATACAAAGGCTGTGATGAAAACAGTATAATAAAACAACAATAAAAAATAATAATAACTATGAGAAAAGTATTTGATGGCAAGAGAAAACCCGCACACAATGCACAAATAAAAATTTCTCAGAACAGTGATTGAATATAATCAGAAAATTACGTTAATGAGTCCCTTGGTACATACAGAAAGCCAAATCTTATTGCTGACAAGCTAATTGAATATAGCAATATATATTATAATAATAATATGAATAATAATGCATATTTATTATTGTTTTTATTTAGTAAAAGAATTTCAAGCAGCGTGCCTTCTCTCTATAGACTAGTTGAAAATATGTATGTGCATATCTAGGTATTTTAGAAAATCATCGAAATTAAAAAAGTCCTCTGCTCAGTATCCGAATTCGCCGCAACAGGTGTTACCATTAACCCACTAAAATGAACACGAATTTGCGAATATTTTGACCTTTTCGGAAACACAGAAATCCACCTGTGTTGGTGCGATTGTCCGCTTGAGAAGTGAGTAATTTTAGTTTATTTCTGTTCTTTTTGTTTATTTCTCTTTATTTTAATTTTTCAGTTAGCACCGAAAATTTAACGTGCGCACAGTGTAATAACCTGAATGCTTGACATTGCCGTGCACATTTTATTTGCCAATGCACACAAATCCATATATACGCTTGTTTATGTGAGTATATCAGCGGCGACAAAGACGTAAAAATCACTTTTACGAGTATTCGATTACGTCGGTTATTTGCGTGCTTTTGCGTGTCTTTGGATAAGTCAACGCAATAGATTTACCGAGTCAAGCGGGTTTCGGACGAAATTACCTTGATTTCTTTGTTTACATTTTTAAGGCAAGTGCAACAAGTTCTAACAATCATACATTGAAGCATGGCACAGGTGCTACTATGCTTGTGTATGTTGTCGGGCTTAACTGATTTTATTTGACAGGTTGGAGCGCCAAGTGTCGGAATTAGCCAGTCTAATTGTTATTAAACAATTTGCTTAACTATATTATTGACAACATAGTACATACACTCAGACAATATAATATGCTATGTATGTATGTACATATGATATACAAGAGCTTGCTTGATTGCACCACTGATAATCAGGCTTTTTGTTTTATTGTGGTTAAATCCTCTAAATCACCAAAATATATTTATTTTAATTGCCTGTATATCCCAATGTGAATATACACACATAATATATACGTATGTACATATGTGCATATGTATATCACGGAAAGAAAATTATTAGGCTCTGTCCAGCAGTGAATGGGGACATAACTAACGCACAAATTATTGTCATACATATTTACTCATTAACTTAAATTGCACCAAAGCAATTCATTATTTCAAACCATTCACCACAGATTTGGCGATCTAAATTCAAATAAAGCCGACGGCCTTGAAATTCATTAAGTAATCACTCTTATTAGTGAGAATAAGCAGTGAAGCTGTAAACCACACTGTGACTGACAAAAACTACATACGCGGAACTAGTCGTGTGTCTCGCTGTGTGGTATGTCAGGCCTTGACAATGCTAGGAAAATCAAGCGCGCGTGCCATGAAAGCACTTAAAGCAACAGCTGTAGTGTTCGCTCTTGCAGCGAAAGATTGTCGCATAAATCGTAGACATAAAATGCGAAAGAAAATTTCAATTGCGAATAATACGTAAGTTATTATATGAGCATATATAGCGCAAAAACAATCTAGTTAATAAATCGTTCCTAAAATCCAATATAACAGTGTTTGGTCAGAGCAATAACATTTGTTTTTGTTAAAAATCATCTCTACTGAAAGTCTTTAAATGATTGATGAAATTATAAATCCAAGTACCTCAAAAAACGAGTGTCTCTCGACAAATTCGCAACAAATGCACTTTTAGTTATCAAATTCGCAAGTCTCTAGACATCTTGATTAGTTAAATACATATTGACACTCAGTTATTTATTGTTGTTTTTTAACATACTTTAAAATCCAATTTTTGCATGAACCAAATAATAGGCAATAAAAACGGTAATGTTTATTTAAAGATATTCTCAAAGTTATCCGAGACTCAAAGTGATAAGATCTATACGCCTTTAACTAACTTTAGTATAATAAAATAAAATTAATGCAATCTTATCAAACATCCAACCAAAGCATTTGAGCACTGCACACACCTGCACATACATACATATATCCATATAATTTTGTTGTTTTATTATTTTATTATTACATTGTACAATGTGCAAACATGTGATTTATTTTATAATAAATTCATATTAGAGCTGCTTCACGGAAAATTTCAATAAAATAAGCACGAAAAATGCATTCTGCTAAGATCAATGTATTGTTTCGTTGTTCAATTAAACATGCATAAAAGTAACAATAGTCTTTTATTATATTTTTCTTAAGAATAGCGTTAAAATTAATTTGAATATTGAAAAATATTAAGTCATCAACCATTTTTGCCTAAAGGGAGTCAGTGTTAAATTTTCGAAAATTCTTTCTTTTTTTTTGTTGCATTATAGTATAGGTTGTAGTAAACATTCTCTCGCATTTTGAAATCGAAATACAAATTATTACGGTCGGTATAGCGTTTATTGTAGAAAGGCACAGAGTAGAGAACGCAGCGACTCCAATCTTTAAACGCGTTTTTCTCAGAATGGTGTTTTTCAAAACGGTTTCTACGCTCAAGACAAGAGTTTTGAAGATATCTAGTCACTCTCTATCGCGCTAAGGAAACTTTCTTTGTTATTTTTTTCTACGAAAAGCTGTCGAAAACAAGGGCCAAATACGATCATTTTTGTCAGGTTTCCAAAAAAAAAAAACCAAAACAAAAAGTTGCTTCCAATGCGCGATACCGCTTTCCTGCAGATTAATAATCTTTTTGAAATTATTGTTATAGACCAAAATTGCGGATGCAATCGTGGATTTCAACAATTTATTTAACTATTATACACCCAATAAATAAACATACATTGCATTCGTTATGAATGTATTAATTTATAAAAAGAACCGTACCGATTAGTTAATTTCAACATTAAAAAAAAAAAATCGTGATAACAAGTGATTTTTCGGAAAGTCACACCGAGACGATCCTTTAAATATTTCTCAATGCATTCACAAATTTCGGTGTAGATTAATTATACATTTTTTAATTATATGTATATTCAAAGTAGTATGCTTTTCCAACATAATCACATATTTTTTTGATTTTATTTTAAACAAAAATCGCGTAAAAGTTACGAAAAATGCATTAGTTGTGTTATACCATACTATCTTGTATTTCGATTTTTAAAGCTTATGTTGTGTACTGCATTTGCATTTTTTTAAATTTTTTTCACAACGAAATGCAAATAATTATCATTTCTAATTACACACAAATCACTTGACATAATATTTGCATATTCTACAGCTGGTAAAATTCCAGAGTTGATTTTCGAAATGCTGCTCACCTTAATTAGTGTAAAATATACGTTTGTAGCGCAAAAAAATTTTTTTTATTAACTAATTTTTGTAAACGCAACAGTGTCTTTCGTATAGTCATTTTATAAAAAGGATCACTCTTCCGTCAAGGATACTTACGTTGGCAAGCTGACACACAGCGCGAAGCAACACAAAAATGTTATCAAATGCAGATACAATTTATCCATATTGCTATCAGGTACACTGTGACAATTCACTTAATTCTGTTAAATCTTATTACGCTATATATAGCTTTTCTCATGAACCGTTATTTACTTTATATATACAATATGGTATTATAGTAGGTATTTTTGGCTTGACAAACGTCTTAATGTCTCATAGAATATTTTATCTTATTGTTCTTCGCTAATTGCTACTTGTAGATAATTATTTGCACGAAATTAAAACACCATATTTTGTTTGCTAAAAAAACACGAACTTTTTCGCTGCAAAATTTGGCCGCAAAGTCTCTTTATCGTACAATTTCGACACTTTCAAACCGTATATACGAATTTAACCTAGTCGATATGCGAATTAGTTTATTAGAATTTTGACGTTTCTTCAAGCCAGACTGTAGGCGGCCAAATGACAATAACATGTTAGGACCACTCATTTTAAACTAACTGCTAGCAGCGTAAATAACGATCGCAGCAGAATTGACGGCGGCGGCAGAGTGAATTAAACACACAACGCCAGCAACAATCACAGTAGCCGTCACCGACGCCGCCGCTACCGCCGTCACCGCTTCGCAACGATAAAAAAAACCTGTCGAACGGCGATCGTATTGAATGATCGTAAGCGCTGGCTACTGAGCACATTCAGAAACGTCAAAAACGTAACGCAACAGCAAATCTTAGAAAGGCGTTCAGAACCACTTTTATTGAAAGCCTGTACAAAAACACAGTTAAGTATATCTGTCTGTAGGTTAGGGCTACCGATATTAGCGGTCAGTGCCGACCGCCCCATTCGGGATATGTAATCAATAAACGGAGCATTTGGATTATATTTACGGCGACTACGTTAGGCAATCTTCGCCTTTATCAGCAACAATTATGTCCTAGACCTTCAAAATATATATGTATGTATGTATATATTTAAAGTATGTTGGTGAAGTAAGGATAAACTCGAAATACATTAGAAAGGTTTCGCAAAGTTTCCGTACCAATACAAGCCACTTACAAGTACTTCGGAACGTGCGCACACCGACTGGATTCGGTAGAGGGCGTTCCTAGCTAACTAACGAACGGCTGGTCAGTTGTCTCCGACCACCAGGAGAGTCAGGACAAACATTGTCGCCCGACTTTTTCTTTATCAGTGGTGCAAGCCGAAAATGCAGCGCTCGTTACAGCAAAGGTATGCGATTAAATTCTGTTTGAAACTCGGTAAATCTGCGACAGAGACGTTTGATATGATCAAGCACTCTTACTCAGATGTTGCTTTAGCAAGAGGGCCGGGAAGATGTCGCTGATAAAAACCGGAAGAATGAGCAAATTCAAAATGAAAACGATGCTCATTGTCTCTTTTGACATAAAAGGCATCGTCCACCCTAATTTGTTCCTCCTGAACAAACCGTCAACGCCAAGTTTTACGTAGAAGTCCTTAAGAGACTCAAACGAAGGGTGAATCGGGTCCGACAAGACATCGCAGCCGATTGGAAGTTGCACCACGACAGCGCCCCAGCTCACACCGCCTTTCTTATGAACAGCTACCTAACCAAGATCGGCAACCCAACGCTTCTGCAGTCGCCGTACAGCCCAGAATTGGCCCCCCGGATTTTTTTGTTTCCTTGCCTGAAAAGGCCGATATAAGGGGATCCGAACAGCGTGCACTTCGGCTCTCAAGGCTATATCGTAGAATGCCTTCCGTGACCCTGTATAAGAATGTCATGCACAAAAGTTTCAAAATAGGAGAACATAACATAACGCAACATCACGTTCCTTTTTCTAATACTAGTCGATTAATATAATGTAGTTAAATTAAAGTAATTATTCAATTGAGTTTCGCCCTCATAAAGCTATATCATCCGATTCTACATCGGTAGTTGATAGGGATACTTAACGCTCACATGACTACCATTATCCCAGTACCGCATTAGCCACGTAGCAAGAGTAGCAAATGCTACGGGCTCCGCGAAACGGGGGGCCCCACGCTCCAACTGACCGTAATTAAAAAAATATCAATTTAAATGGAGCGGAAAATATCCTTGCATGCTTTAAACGCGAAGCACTTAATCTGTGCTTTACTTCCACCTTCCACCTGAAAATCTAAACCTCGATTTCGTCACGTTAAATCGTAAAAAAAAGTAGGCATTTTACGAACTTCTTAACTTTAATGTTCTAATGTTTAATAATAAATACTATAATCGATATATTTAGATTAGTGTCTACCTAAACTAGGTACATTTCTACCCTTCAAACGTCCAGATTTTTATTTTTTTATTAATATTCATTAATTTTTATATCAAAATAAAATTAAATTTCTGCCGAATACCGCTATTGTTAATTTTTATTAATTAAATAAATAATTTCATAAATAAAATAAAAATAAATAATTACCGATTATCTCTAGATTTTATATACTATGAAAGCCGTCAAAAGAAAATAAGTATAATTATTAAATTTTTACAAAATTTTTATTAAAATTTATTGTCCAACGTTATTCTTGTGACCTTCTATATTATAAAAAAAACATTATTTTATATCATAACACTGACCTCTTAACAGGAAAAAAATTTTTAGTTCAGTCCAGCCTTAAGAACAAGGTGTTTCAGAGTCTCAAGTCATGTTCTGCCATCTGGACCAGTGGAATGATTCCTTAAGTTCTTGGACATGGAAGGTCATACAGCTCAAACTTTACTTGATTTCTTCAGTGAGGGTGACATTAATATCAAAGATTGTCGTGTTTAAAGATATTGCTTTGAGTGGGAAACTGCTGTACAGAAGCATTATTTCTTCGATTTCATTGAAAACCTCTACAAATTTTTTTCCGCTTCTACCTATCGCACTTAAAGATTCTACTTCAAAAATTCCGAGCTGATACTACGAAGACACATTTATGTGTTTTATCACTGTTAAGCAAGTATTGGAAGATATTTTCAATAACGTGGATCAAAAAGCGGAGTGCCTTAATAATGGTTTCGATGAATAAGTTAGAAGCGGGAATAGGGACAATTACGTGAAACGAAGTCCCAGAACACTTGCAAGCGACCAGTGCTTCGCTGCAGTCGTCTGATCAAGACCTTAATAAAGGGATGCGCAAATTATGAATCATTATATGGCTGCGTCCAAGCAATGCGATCCATTTTTCAGATATTCAGGCAAGAGTCAAAGATCTGACCTACTGTGAAGAATATCAGCAACAGACAACGAATCAAGCGAAATACAAAGTACGACCATTTCAGCGGCTCTACTACATTCGACGACTTTGTTGAAAATCAAACACCTGGACAACGTTTCGAATTTGAGGTGTTTATTGTCATTATTAATCATAACATTAATTAAAAATGAATTAAGAAACACGATGGGCAAAGAACGTCTTAATCATCTCACTCAAGTCGATAATGAAAGTATTATATCTAAATTTGCCTATAATAAATCCAGAAAAGTGTATTTGTAACAATTTTGTTTTATTTAGAACTTGAGAACTTATATCAAAGCAAGGGTCCCTTGACAGAATTTGCTACAGGCCTCGCGCTGGTTTCATCCGGCACTGCGTTATCCATTCTATTTTGTTATGCGATATATCGTATTTGCACTCGGAACTACTTCGGTTATTGTTAATGAAAAGTGTGACAGGTGCTGCCGTTAATCCAGCTGGTAAACGTCTCAACTAGGTTCCTGTCCCTGTCACTGTTACTGCCAGTTACCTAACGAATTACTCAACAGATGCATAATAACAATTCACTTTCCTTTTACTAGACTATAATGCATATGAATATGTATGTGTGTATTTAAAATAGAACTCATAGATCATTCAGAATTTACACGGTCACCTTTTTATTATTCCATTAACAATAACATATTAAATTGTTATGTGTTTTTTATTATATGCATGATTTTTCATTTTTTATTACATTGTATTCATTAGATTCGGTGCAACTTTTGCTACCGTAAACAACAAGTCTTGTCGCAAATTGAGCCATTGACTTCTAGACTGACAAATAAGGGGCTGAATGGAATGAACGGGGCTATTTTGGCTGTCAGTGAACAAAACACGCCCTCCTATGCACACACACACACACACACGCTCACACATCTGCTTTTGCTTTGATTGCGCATGAATTAAGTATGGATAACGTCATAAGTCATTAGGTGGTTTTGGCACCTTTCTCGACTGGTTTTCGGCTAATAAATTAGCATCCAAATGATTTGTGCCAATGCATAAAAATAATACGAGGGAAGAGAGGTAGAAGTTCCCGAAAAATTATACATCACTTATATATTATTACATATATGTACGTTTATATGTATGTATGTACGCCGAGAATGAGTATTCTTTGGCAGATTTGTTTGTATTTATGTTCGTTGTTTTGAGAAAAGCTATTTTAGTTTTTAAATAGAAGAAGCTTAAATTGGACGTATTTATATAATTTGCGGAAATAATTCAAACACGTCTGTCGCACTAATTGCTGCAATTGGTTTGAGTGTTATTTTTACAAGTAAGCCGATGTGATATACTCGGTTTTAATTTGAAATTATTTCAATGTCCGCCTTGGCGGTCAAAGCAACTGCGTACTTCGGTTAGATTAGCAGCTAACATTTAAAACGTATTAGTAATGCGAGTATTTGCAGAAAGGCCCATTAAAGTAGCTGAGTTGCAAAAATATGTATACATACCTACATCATATACTTATATATGTACATATGTATGCATATGAACGCTCATCAATGTTATTAATAAGGGTTTGCGGTAAACCGGCAAACATCGGGAGTCCCCTGTGACGCAAGTTAAACACTTCTTGCATAAGAAACAAAACCCTTTGGAAAGTTCAGTTATCACCTCAGTATACATATGTTTAGCTATTGTTTAGGTATTGTTGTTCTTTTATTTATAACCGCAAATAGATACAGCTTCAAAAACCAGCTCCTTCTCGCGTGATTAAATTTTTAAATTTTTAATGATATTGATGTCTTATGTTTTCTGTAATGCGTTCTTTGCACAACCTATGGCGGAATCCCAGAAACTGTTTGCCTTAATCCACTATCCATTTGGAAGCCAGAAAAACACGTTTCTTTGTAAATTGTTTTTTGCAGAGCCATTTTATTTACTCTATACATACATAAAAGTGAATGTGTATCTGTATATCCTACATATACAAGAATCGTAAACTATACATCTGATCATTTGATGACCTTTAGCAAAGTAGTTGTGCATGAGCCAAAAAATATTACTGAGCAATAAATAAGAAGGTAGAAATTTTGAAATTCATGTCTGGATCATACTGAAGAGACAATGGCCGCGCTTTTTCTGTAAATTGTGTCAAAATTATTTTAGCTGACTCAAACCACAAAAATTTATAGAAAAACAAGTAAAATTATTCTAATTGACACCAGCGAAAAATTGTTGCAATGAAATTATTATATTATTGGAC